AGTTTCAAGAAAAATTAGCTTTATCAGTAAAAAGAATTTGCTTGAAAAATAACGGATTCTTTAGCAGGTTTTGAAAAAACCACTCACAGAAATTAGTACGCAACGGAAAATCTCTAGGAAGTAAAGCCTGGACTTTTTAAATGTGATATGGGTATAACAAATTATCCAAACAAGTACATGTGAAACATTAAATATTGCCGCGATTTTCTTCGTGCTAGTTTCGGGGTTCTTCTCAATTTCATGTAACATTTATTCCTCAAGTTCCGGTGTTCTTACTGTTTGATGGACTTCTTTAGCACTGTGGTCTACTTTTTAAGTTCCAAATTCGTGAACACGTCTATAAAATTTTCTAGAATCGGATAGTATGCGATTTGGATACTGCTCTTGATATATTCCCCTGACTTCGTATACATTTCCGTCTGCAAGTTCATAAGTAAAATGCATGTCAGCTAATTCACTGTTTGTAAAATTTACCATTTTTTTTATCAGATTTTACCTTTTACTATAACAGTAATATAAAATCAATGTTAACTTTATTTACTTTGTGAAAAGAAACATCAAAAAGTATGACGCTTTACCCAGCCAACTAATTTCTATTTCATTTTCTTTAAAAGAGCATTTAATCTGCTTACCGTTTTTTTTATTCAAATATTCAACATCATGCTTTAGTGAATGTCAAAAAACATGTTTCCACCTATGGTGGGTCTCTACCAAATTTCAACAAAATATCAAAAGCAGTCTCAATGGATTTAAAGAAAAAATTTGACAATTCACAAAAAAGGTTTTTATTTTTTTTTACGCGAAAACGGTGCATCGTACGAAAGTAAGACTATGGACCAAATTGGCTCCAAATTAGGATTTAAAAAATTATTTTAATTTGTAGAAAAAGCAGTGTGGTACGATTTTTTCTTTAAAAACATTCAGTTTAAACCCCGTACGAACGTCACAGATAAAAATAAAAAAATCTTATGTCAAAAAATGCTTCTTAGGTTAAAAGGTGTGTACAAAAATTCATAAAAATATCTGGAGTGATAAGAAATTATGATAAAAAAGTAATTTTTTCTTATACAATATTTTAGCATTTTGTAGCACAAAAATTAAGAGGTTTACGACATATGATGAAATTAACTTTACTTTTTAGAATTATCCCCTTAAGTATCGGCACTCAGTCATTAAACTTCCTTTTTTCTTTTATCAGGAACGACTAACGATGATAATTGTATCTCTATTTAAATTCAAATTCATCAAATTGATTAACTGTGGTTGTGTCGATTAAGATGATATAATTGATTGACCAGATTACATGTAGTCCTGTAAATTTTAAAAGTTATTATTTATTTCAAACCGTAATAACTCCCCGTATCTCTGATTACTAGAATTCCCGAACCTTTAAATCCCGGATCAAAAATCCTCGAAAAAGGATTGAGGACTTTATCAACTCCATATAAGTTGATATTTTCAAATAACTAAGTTTATGTACCTCAGGGACCAAAACATGTATTTTACTTCCATATTTTAGGGACTGAAGTGACACTTTTACTCTCTTGGGACTAAAATATCTTAGTCTCAAGGGATTAAAAAATTTTAGTCCCGCAAATAACAAAACCAACACAAACCATAGCAAACTCCTTTATACGGGAGAATATAACAAGTTCTTTTTTATAAGCGAATAAATTTATCAATTTTCCCGAAAATAGTTTTATTTTAAACTTTACATATATTTTTATTTATTAAGAGTACAATTATTAAAAACACAATTGATTACTATAAAACGTCAAAATAATAAATTTCGATTTGACATTTATTGTATACCTACTTGATTTAAGTATATTTACGTAAGTCTCAAAATTCTGCAAAAATCTTGTAAGCAGAGGACCCAGATTCAAACCTCTGACAGGTTAGTTTTATAATTTTTCTTTTTTTTAATAACTTTTCTTAATCATTTAGTAATAGATTAATCATTATGAAATAATATTAAGTGTTTCTTTTCACATAATTATCGTGTAAATTTAGTCCCTGCGGTACAAAAATAGCGTATGTACCACGAGACTAAAGTGCGTTTTAATCCCTCGAGTGATTAAAAGTGGCATTTTAGTTCCTTGGTACATAACATACTATTTAACTTCTGATACATTGAATGGAAAATAAATCTTGCAACTACACTTTTTAAAGAGTTTATGCAACCTACACATTTTTAAATAAAATATATTCCTTTGTTTTAAATAATATTCGAATTTTAGCTACAAAATAATGTTACTTTATTTATGGCTACATCAAATTTAACAATTCCAAAATCAACTTTTAATATTTTAACTTTTTTGTTATTGTTCAGACCCTTACTATAATAATTAAAGGTCGAAAAAGAAAGAAAAAGGTAGGTACTTTTTGTCTCACAAAGATTTGTATTTAGTACTGCGACCGATTTCAGGCACGCCTAGTGGGTAAGAGAAAAGAGCAGAATTGGTAAATTTTACATTGTTAGCAAGAACATTGATATAATTTAAGAGAAATTAACACAACTAAACCACTAATACCACTTATATTTATACTAACCATTATTATTAATCAAACTAATGTAATGAGTGAAAAAAAAAACTGAAAAATGAATTCTAAACAAAAGCTTTTTATTAGAAATAAGAAAAAATTGACATCCTAGACTTATCCGGGATCTACAAATTAAACTGTATTACTTGCAACTCGTTCTAAGTAGGTTGGAGTTTTCCAATTTTAAAACACGACTGAAGAAGCACACTAGTAGTGCGTTTGATTTAATCATCGGAGATCTCCGAGCGCTGCAAACGTGTTTGAATTGACACTCCGAGTGATCCCAAAAGTGTTCCGCTTTGGATCGAGAACATAGAGCGAGCTCGATGTTCTCATAGCAGAAGGATCGAGAAGAGGGAGAAATTTGTTTTTGTCTCTACCTATTTCTTTTTAATTAATCTACAAACTTGAATCTCAAAATTGGAGACCCGACAAGAAATCGCTTTTGTCTTTTAATTAAAATTATTCATCATAAAAAATAAAGTTTGTTTGAAAAATACATTTTTTCTGCTTAGATTTAATCACCAGTATTTACAGTCAAGGAGTTTGAAAGTAAAGCGGGCATCTGTGGCATATGCTGCATTACCATTACCTTATTATTAAAAGTTTTTCCATTTTCTTCACTTTTCGCTTGCTGTTTTGACACACAAAAAACAAGAATCGCAAAAAAGCGAGGTTATGTTTTTTATTGTTTCATATTTGAATTGATTCAATGCTTTATTGTGACGTCATCATTTATGGGTCTCCTCGACGCTCGCTCAATCCAGTTTCAAATCAAACAACCCTTAGATGTCTGAACCAAAACCATACTGGTTTTTCACATTTTGCCAACTATCTGATAGACACCGAACATGACTTTGATTCTTCGACAGATTTCAAAATTTTATACAACATAATATAGATCTACTCTTAATAGCTTTGAGAACCTAGAAATAATGAGAAATCTTAAGGCCTCCTCCGGAGGATGCTTAAATGCACAGATCCAATTTGTATCTTTTCCGATTTTCTCCATATTGCTGTAAACATAAAACATTTGTTCTACCCTTATTACAACAATACCATTTTTTCCTTTCCGCTTTTTATCTCTTTTTTCGCTGATTAATAATTAACCTTTTCTTTAATCGTTTCTCTAAATTCCCTTGATTCTTTTTCCACACGTGATTTTAATTTCATTTTTTTTTTATATCATATTTCAAAATCCCTTAGATCTGCCATTTTACCGTTATACAGGTAAACTAACTGCTTTCCCCATAAAATTAATATTTCCCTGGATTAATAATTTATTCATAGTGTCACGCAAAGCCGACTCTGTTCTTTATTTATATTGTGGCGACACTGAGTCTAGGGTTGGCAATCGCTCCTGTCCACAACTAAGACTCAAGAAGTAAGTCGTTGCTGGAATCTTCGCTAGGCGGTTCGGTGCGTGAAGGAAGCTTTCGAGATTATTCAGGACTTGTTCTTTTCTAGGCCGATACTTTTTTATATAAATAGCGCGAGTCTTTTGATAGACGTGAAGTTTCATTTTAAGTGCTGTACACAAAAATTAAATTTTATTAAATAAATTGAAATTGTGAGTAATAATAGTGCATAAGTATCAAATAAATTAATTAGTACGTTGTGAATAAACTGTTTTTATTAAATAAACTATTTTTAAATTAAACAATCGTTACAATATGTATACATAAATAAATATAATTTTAAACTAAAACTAATAATTTTTTTGTCAAATTTTCGTCTTATGTCCTCACATTTTTTCAGTTGTTTTGTCATTTTTCAGTTATTATTAAAAACTTTTTGAATTTCCATTTAATTTCCAGTTAGTTCCGTTATTTTTATATTAAAAAATTTTTTTTGAAAATATTTAAACTACTAATTTGGCCACTCTCTACTGGAGGGCAAAAATTAAAATTGTTTGTTGTTTTAAATTGAAATCATTTAAACCGTTTGTTGTTCAGTTTAATCTCCATTTTGCTTCTTAAACATTTAAAAAACTTGTTCCAAATTTTATTAAACTCTGTTGTAATGTAGGCTCATATATTTTTAATACTCTTAAGGAGCGGACACATATAACACATCATACAGGGTCATTCTATATGGGCGGAACACTTGATTTATGTCTTAACTATGACTTGTACGATAATTTGACTTATATAAAAGTTTTTGTACATTTTATGTACTATTTATTGACGTTTACAGATTTCCCGCATACGTAATGGTTTTCAAGATATGACGTCATCGGGCAATATTTTAAATAAGTCTGGGACCCACTTAATGTACCATTGATGAAATCAGACAGATCATACGAACTCAAAAAAAAAATATAAATACAGGGTGATCCATTTAAAATATTGCCCGATGACGTCATATCTTGAAAATCATTACCTATGCGGGAAATCTGTAAACATCAATAAATAGTACATAAAATGTACTAACTTTTATCAAATTCAAAGTCAAATTTTCGTACAAGTCATAGTTAAGCCATAAATCAAGTGTTCCGCCCATATAGAATGACCCGGTATATGCCGGACACATATGTATGTTGTGAAACGTGTGTTGAACGCTGGAATTTGTTTTTTGAAAATGTGGTGAGAGACGTGGTTTATTATCAGTATCAGTTACGGGTATATATTTCTGCCATTGTAATGGAATACCTACCCGAAGAAAAGGACTGGTTGGATAAAAAGGAGGAAATTATAGCTGCTACTGCGATATTGTTTGCGCTACTGTACGAATCCAGAGAGTACTGGGTTCATCCAATAAACCAGTCTAGGCAAGAACATGGTGCATTTCATGTTCTGTGGCCCGAATTTAGCATTGACGACGAAAGGTGTAAAATGGATATAAAGATGACCAAGAAGGAATTTGACATACTTTATGATTTATTAGAAACGAAATTAAAGAAGCAAAACACATATTTCAGAGAGGCAATATCTCCAGAGGAAAGACTTTTATTGACTTGAAGGTAGGTAATAACAAAATAAAATACTCTATTCTTTTAAACAACAAGAAAGATTACTAAATGAAGTAAACAAATATAATATATATATGTAATATTATAATTATTAAAAATCTAGAATAACCAGATATAATATTGTTACAAAAGTAGATAACCAGATGTGTAAAATTATAGTTGAAAGTATTTTATAAAAAATTGGATGTAGATTGTTTATTCTCATCATGGTGGGGGAAATAATGTGCGGATGGCGACTGTACAAATGTTTGAGATTCACTCGAGTAGGAATTTGTAGACGAAGATAGTACTGGTAAAGGATGCCGTAGTGTGATAGTTTGGGTTGTGACTGGTGATATGTTTCACAGTTCTGCTAGAAAGACCAAATTACTTATGTCCATTTTAAGACGAACTTGTTCTTTTGAAAAAGTTTCTTGACAGTTTTAGCTAAGCTCAGAAAAAATAAATCGATATCATCATTAGGTATATGTACTGCAGGTGGTGCTAGAGGTGCATTATCTGAGACCTCATACGGTTATTACATTTCATTATATCAACTCATTCAGTCATTGACTTCTCAATTCTCTTTTTGTTTTATACTTTTTTAGAAAGATCATTTGGATGAACACATAAATTTGAGTCTGTTGATACTTCAGTAACCAAACTTCTCGTAGTCTGGTCTTCATCGCCATCTCCTTCATCTTGCCTTTCAAAATCATCAGTCGTATTTGTGTCACTCTCCTCAATTTGACTTTCCGAGTTATGTTCATCTTGAGACTGGAAGCTGTTTTGTGATATTCTGGGTTCCATATAGGATAACAAAATGATATTTGGTCTTTAAATTTCCACTTCAGAATTTTTTTTGTTGCCTGCCCACTAGTAGTCTTTCTTCTTTTTAATGCGTTGGTGTAGGCATTTCTTAGCTTTGTTTATTCATCTTTATATTCTTGTCCTGAAAAAATAATCTGTATTATAAAATCTATATTTCATTTATAGTAGATAACATAATTAATTCAATTTTCTTTTTAGATTTTTGGCAACTGGAAATTCATACAAATCAATGGGATTTGAGTTTCGCATTGGATTCAGTACAGTGGGACAAATTGTAAAAGAATGTTTTCAGGCCATATAGGAAACACTGGATCCTATATATAGAGGGTGTCCGCCGGGAAGGTTTACTACTTTGTTTATAATTTGATATTGATAATTGTTTTATTTAATGTCGGCAATTATGTATGGAATACAACATCAGATAAATGTCCGCCTCTGTTAGCCTCACAAATGCGAGCACTTTTGAGCACATTTTTCATTACATTCTCACACATTTCACGCAGTATTTCATTAATTTCATCACGAATATTTTGTTTGAGTTGCTCAAGCTTTTCTGGTTTGTTTGCATAAACCTTGCTTTTCACCATTTCTTGAAATAACTTGTTGTGGAAAGATATCTTGCAGTAATTCCATTGTAATCCTGGCTGTATACGATGTGGCACCGTCTTGTTAATACCACATGTTAATTAAGCCCAAAGCATGCAGTTGTGGCGTTAAAAAGTTTTCAATCATATCACGATATTGCTCGACATTCACAGTTACCGTTACGCCGTTTTCATTTTCAAAGTAGTAAGGTCCAATGATTCCTACTGACCAAATTGCACACCAGACTGTCACTTTTAATGGATACAAAGGTGACTGATGAATGAGGGTTTTCCATTGCCCAGAACCGACTATTTCGTTTATTCACATATCCATTCAAATGAAAATGTGCCTCGTCACTCATTATGATTTTTTCATGAAAATCGGGGTTGTCATGGGCGAGCTGTAACATTCTGTTGGCATATGTACGGCGGCGTAAATGGTCTTGTGGAAGAAGCTCTTGTGTCAACTGAATCTTATATGGAAACAAATGCAAATCTTTGTGCAAAATTGTGGCGAAAGTTGTTCTTTGAAGATCAAGCTCCTGAGCACGGCATCGAATTGAGGTTGATGATTGTTTTGAACACTTTCTTGAGCAGCAGTAATGTTTTCAGCAGATCTTGCAGTACTTTGTGGTCCATGCTTGGGCCTATCACCTACATTCTTTCTTAGAAATCATTCACTACACGATAAATAGTGCGTTTTGTTGGCACGTTGTTTCTCCCAAAAATTTCATGTAACTTTCTCATCGTCACAGTAATCGATGATTGATTTTGTTAAAATGTTTTAACGATCAAAACATGTTGGTTTATTGAATATTTTTCCATAATAAATTTGCCACGTGTCTACTTCACGACTGCCAAATATAAACTGTCAAATGTTTACCAAAATGGCGGCAAAAGAAAGTAGTATATCTTCCCGGCGGACACCCGTACAGTGAAATCGGTCCACCGTAAACTTTTAACTTTAGCTATATATATATATTTTTAAATTATTAAACATAATTTCTGTGAATTATTAATTATTGGACAATATTAAAGCATATTAAATTGTCTTTCAAACAGCATATTTTTTTTTTTTCGATCTGATGAATAATTTAAAAAATATAGTTATAGTCAAAAGTTTACAGTGGGCCGATTTCTATGCACGCAAGTATACATGCTCCTGGCTCCAACCTGATCAAATGAGTTGGAAAGAAATTGCTAGACAGTTTGAAGAAAAGTGGCAGTTTCCACATTGTACTGGTGCCTTGGACGGTAAGCATGTCGAAATACAATGTCCAAATAACGCCGGAACTACTTATTTTAATTACAAACGTACTTACTTCATTGTTCTTCTTGCATTAGTCGATGCGAATTACAAATTTACATGGATAGACGTCGGTAATTATGGTATAAACAGTGTTTGAAAGATCATTATTAAGCCAATTATCATCAAGTAACAGAATTGATTTTCCGGCGGATGAACCACTAACACCCATAGGACCTCTCTTTCCATTTGTTATGATCGGCATTTCCTCTGAAACGCTATTTGATGTGACCTTTCAGTAAAAACAACTTAGCTGGCGAAGCAGAAAAAAATTAATTACAGGCTTTCAAAAGCACGCCGTATTGTAGAAAATGCTTTTGGTATCCTAGCAGCGCGATGAAGGATTTTTAGAAAACCAATCGAAGCTAGCCCAGAAGTAGCTGATAAGAATGGCAGCATGTTGTCTTCATAATTTTCTGGGAATTTCATCGACCGAATCTGTAGAACCTTTTGATGTAAATTCGATGAACGCATTAAGGCCTAAGGCCTATTGATTTCATCCGAAAAAATTACGCATTGGACGCTTTTGGCGTACGAGAACTATACAAGAACTTTTTCATTTCTAATACAGGCAATGCAATGTGTCCGTGGCAGATAGACATTATTCGTAGGGGCAGGCGTTAATTGGTTAATAAAAAATACGGAACGCCGCTTTTTTATAGTCTGAACTAGAAATTAAACTAAACTAGAATTTGAAAAACTTATGCCCCATATTCAGTTAATATTTCCGAAAAAATAATTTAAACAAGGTAAAAATAATTTTTAAAATACAAAATTAATTATTTCCTTATAATTTCTAGTTCAGTTTAATTTGTAGTTTAGTTTTAATTCAATTTTTAATACATAGAAAAGCGTTGGCTATCGGTGCCTAGTTAAAGAATAATATATACACGTTTAAAAATACAATAATATAAATACTTACAGGTTTTCTTTATTTTCTACCTATATCTCCTTCCAAGCCTCTTGTCGTTTTCTTTGATCACGATAATCTTTACTCTGAACGTTATACAAAAATTCGTACTTTCGTAGTGTAGTCATTTTTACGTTATTAACATTTTCTGTGATGATTGGTGTTCTAAACAATTTTTTCAGTATTCGTTAGCATTTTTTTCAGTTTTTCAATTTTTTCACTCAGTCAGTATATTAATTTGATTATTTTTCTTAATATGAATAAATACATATTAGTGGTAATAGTTGATTAGTTTTGTTAATTTCTCTTAAATTAAATCAAAGTTCCATCGCTTCTTCATCTTGCTAACAATGTAAAATTCACCTATTCTTTTTTTCTCTTACCCACTAGGCGTGCCTGAAGATGAAATGTTCACACTTCCAAACCGGTGGCAGTACTAAATACAAATCTTTGTGTGATAAAAAGGACCTTTTTCTTTCTCCACACGTTTGAACCGTACTTTAATCTTTTTATTTCTCATCTTGTCTTGGTCGTAGAAAAAGTATAGTCTACTACTGGATTGTAAAATAAATTTTTCACTAGCATCCATTTTTCATTCCAATTTTGTCACAGATATACTATTCTTTCATTGTGGCAAGATTCCACATTCATATCTATAGTTAACCCATAACGAAAAATGATAGCAGTCAAAAAAATGTAGTTAAGTGTTCATTAAAACTGCCATTATTAAAATATAACAACTATTACCTTTATTTGTGATATGTATCCAGTCACATTTTGATTTTTTCAAAAATATTTTAATATAATGGTAGCGCATTACCAACTAATGTTACAAGCCATGCGTGTTCCAAATATTATTTTAATTCATTACTGTCTTGTAATCTGATTTTTAAAGATATAAATTAAAAGTGTTTCTAGTGGATTTCAGTGAAGGTTTTTATGTCAATAAATATTTTCCTGTTTTACACTAATATGTACATAAATATTAAAATTAAAAATAAGATCCATTTTAAATTAGTTTTTTATATTACAGTTATTCATTCTCACAAACAAAATTAAAAATTCTAACGATGTCGTACATACAAGAAGTAAATTATAGAGGTAGTTTTGGTTAAGTACCAATTATTTTCTGTAATTTAAACTATATTTTCACCAAAGTTTTATGTCATTACCTACTGATGTCATTAAATTACATATTTTATTATTTACAATAATAGTCAATGTACATTTTCAAATTAATACAAATAATACATAAAAAGCTTTTTATTATTATCCTACAGCCCTATAAACATTTATTTCTTATAGATTTTTTCAAAACTCTAAGTCAATCTCTTTGGCGGCAAATATGTAATTGTTTTAGTAACAAAGGAAATGCAATTTTAAAAGATTATTAATTTTCTAAAAAATATCCAGGATTACGAACTACAGACAATTACCTGAATTTAAAATTTTATTTACTCTACAATGTAGTCTATAAAGAGTATTATAGGTTAACTTTTAAGAAACAAATTTTTTTAATAATTATCCAAATTTAAAAATTTTTGTATCAAAATCCTTCTCATCAAATTTTAAACAACTGTTAAAAATGTCCGTCCGTCAGTCCGATGTCATGTTATTTGTCCGCACGATAAGTCATGAACGTAAAATGATATCCATTTGAAAATTTCAGGAAAAATCGAGCTCTATAAGGGAACGAATCCTATTGATTTTGAAAAAAATCTGAATAAAAATAGGGAGTAATAAAAAATTTTATGACGAAAAGTAACTCCCAATGTTGTGTAATATATATTATATTTTTGACGGTTTTTTTTTAATGACAACTTCTCAATAATAACAGTGTTTTTTTATAGGCGGCTATTTGTACCTTTTTTTTTTACAAAATAAAGAAAAATAAATTCCATATTTAGTAAAAATCAAGTAGATGAAGCCTATTGATTCTAAAAAAATCTAAATACAAATGAATAAAAATGAGGGGTTAAATTTAAATCTTCAGTTTAAATCAAGGTTTATAAGGCATGAATCCTATGAATTCTGGGTCTGTTAAACTGTGAAGAGTATAATATTATAGAATGTCAAGCAATATATATCTTCAATCTAGTTTTTATTATTTATTAGGTATCTGTAACGTGTGGAGGGTGGGTTACCCCACGGCACTTAGGCCTTACTAGGCCCATTGTGCATCCTCCTAAGACCATAGGCACCTCCTAGCTCGTGAGCCAGCCTACAGATTTAAGGTAGTTGACAACGTTGTCAAGAAGTGCTTCTCTTATATCGGCCGGTGTTGGCCGATACTCGCCGAACACAAATTTCCTAATAAATGAGAGCGTCGAGCAATCGTAGAGGATATACTCGATGGTCTCATCTTCCTGTTCGCAACCTCTGCACAGTGCGGATTCTGACAACCCCATGATATATAGAAGCTTCCGTACTTGGCAATGACCAGTCAGAATGCCTGTGACTAGGCGCATATTCTGTCTAGTCATAGTCAAGTATTTGTTTGCTGCAGTGTTGTCAGGATAACTTACAAGCTCCCTGGCAACTCTGCAGTTTCTTGTTTCATCCCATCTTTCCTTGAATTTCACAAGGGAATTTTTCATAGTTAGATCTGTCACTACCGATTTTGTCAGGCCAATAGAAGGGCCAGGTCCAAAAAGTATTTGGTTGGCTGCTTTCTTGGCCAGTGAATCAGCGAGACGGTTACCTTTCGATGTTCACGCCACATCCAAAGGCCTTCGATCCATCTTAAGGTGACAACGTTATTGATAAATACTTCGGCTAAGACTTTGTGATATTCATATACTAACCCTGAATAAACTCGTGGTCTGTTCAAGGTAAGTAGTGCTTGTCTGCTATCTGTATAGGCGAGCATGTTCCTTCCAGTGATATTGTTTCTGGTGATTTCTTTTTCTGCTATGAGAATCCCCGTGAGCTCTGTTTAAACTACATTGGCACTATTGCTCATAGCCCATTTAATGTCTAGGTTTAAGGATCTGGAGTATATTCCACATCCTGAGCCTTGTTTTGTTTTAGAACCGTCGGCGAAGATATGAATCGTACCTGCCACTTCCAGCTCTTCTATTTGTTATGTTACAACTGTATATGGCTTATGGAAGATATATCCAGCGCCTCCTGCCAAAAGCTACGTCTCGCCTCACCATATCCTACATAAGGGTCTATTTCAACCGTGCGGAAGCGTGTCTTTGTGGTCAGAGCAACATCCTTGATGTAAATATCAAGAGGAGTGAGACTAAGAATGCCTTTCATGGCACTGGTCGGTGTTGTTTTCATGGCTCCTGTTATGTTGAGACATGCTGTTCTTCGAATTTCTTCTAATTTACGGATAGCTCTTAATTTTTAGGTTTTCGGTAACCAGACATCTGCACTGTATGTTAGCATAGGTCTTATGATAGCCGTATAAGTCCATGCGACGACTCTGGAGGAGAAACTCCAGGTGCGCCTCACGGTTCGGTGGCATTGTTCATAAGCAATGTATGCTCTTTTGGCTCTGTTTTCTAAATGCGAGTTCCACGTTAACTTGCTGTCAAAAGTGAGACTTAAGTACTTCTGTTACAAAGTTTAGTTTTGTGTTTAGGAGTTCTGGAGGTTTTAATTCCATTTTCATACTTTTTCTTGTAAAAAGGACCATTTCAGTCTTCTTAGAATTGATAGACAGTAAATGGTCCTTTGACCACTATTCTATAATTTTGAGAGCTACTTGCATTCTTTTGCAGAGTATGTTCTGAAAATTCCCTGTTTGTAGAATGACCAGGTCATCTGCACATGCTATTGTGTAGTGATTGTCATTATTGAGGCGGCTGATTAGGGTTTTGAAGACTATGTTCAACAGTAGAGGTGATAACACCCCCTCCCTGTGGATATTCTCTCGCAACCAAGCCTCTTATATTCAAATCTTCTACACTTATGTTTACTGCTCTCTTTAAGAGCATGTTATATATCCACTCACTATTCATCTGTGGAATATTTCTGTTGGTTAGTAAGTGTATTATCTTGGGGAAGGTGGTTTTATCAAAAGCACCTTCTGTCTATGAAAACACCCAAGGCGAACTCCTTATTGTCCAGGGATCTATCTATCCGGCCAGCAACTAGATGAAGGGCTGAATCAGTGGATCTGTCTGGAGTGTATGCATGTTGGTTTGGGTGTAGTGGTGTTGTTGTAATCACCGCATCCTTTCTGTACCTTTCGCATAGCCTTTTCAATGTTTTCATGGAAAACGATGTCAGACTAATTGGTCGGTATGTTTTTGGGACAGTGTAATTCATCCTTCCAGGTTAGGGTATGAATACCACTTTTACCTCTCTCCATTTTTTGGGGATATATCTCAGAACTAACGAGGATCTGAATATACCCACCAAGTGCGGTGTGAGTTCTTCCAGACCCCATTGAAGTAGGGCTGGATAGATACCGTCAGGTTCTGGCGATTTAAATGGAAGAAGCTGGATATTGCCCATCGTCTACAATGTATGTGGCAATTTGCCAATGATAGACAGATGGGTTGTATTCTTCCTCTGCCCAGTAGGTCACGTCTATGATGACCGAGTCAGGGAAGTGTGCTGACAGCAGAAGCTTGATGCTATCTTCAAGGTTGGCAGTTTTCGTGCCATCCTCTTTGATAAGCGCAGAAATGCTTCGCTGTGGATCGTTTGAGAGAGCCTTTTGAAGTCTCGCTGCCTGCGGGAAATCTTCGATTTCTTCGCAGTAGGATCTCCATGCATCTCTGTTTGACGATTTTTTTGTATTCTCTGAGGTGAGATTTGTAAGTATCCCAGTCTTCTTTGAGTTTTGTGGTTATTGCCTTGTTAAAAGATTTCCTAGTTATCTTCCTGAGGTGATCTAACTCGTGAAACCACCATGCGGTAGTCGTCTGATCGTGTTGGACCAGCCTCAGGAGACAGGATTCCTTATAGGCATTGTTTATTGTGCTTTTAATAGTGTTCGAGCACTTTTCCCAAGCATTGTTATTGTTTGGTGTTTCGAATTCCATTTCTCTCAGAGCCTCTTGGAGAAGGCCCTGTCGGTCTTTCTAGGGTTCCGAGATAGCGTGTAGGTCGGCAATATCAAGTTTATTTTGAATGTTAACCAGCGGTGGTCTGACATTAGAATGTTATCAGACACTTGCTAGTTTAGAATTTATTTATAGATACCAGTTGTGGATAAGTGGATACCAGTTGTGGAAGTAATATCTATAAGTGTTTGACTGCAAGAGTTTAAAAATGTTGGTGTAGTACCTGTATTTAAAATACAAAGATTTTTTGTAATTATATAATCTACAAAAGATAATAAATAAGCACATAAAGAGCACACAAACCGTCATTATCGCTAAATTAGCTACACTAGTTTTGAAATGTAAATTTACATAAGACAATTTATCTAATGTCCAAACTAGTCAGCTTTGTATCAATTTCTCTTCTTTAAATTTTATTTTTATAATCAAATATCGGAATAACAAAAGTATATTAATAATATTGGGTATTAGGGTATTGTAAGTATTAGTCAACGACTAAAAATAAATAAAATTAATAAGTATACCAAAACTACAAGATTTAAAACAAATTTCCTCAAATAAATCATTTCTATATGGACAAAGAAGTTATTTATAAATATTTTTATGAAATATAGTTTAAATAATGAGGTGACTAGCTTTAACAACTATGGGTCATTATCAAGCCAAAAAGTAGAGTTCTTAACAATATCGAATGTAATTAAAAAAGTGAAACACTCTCTTACCTATTAATTACAATTAAAGTGAAGGAAAAATGTAAAAATTCCTTCAAAATGTGTCCAAACCTGTTTAAGGTAGGTTGTAAATATTTTCATGTAAAAATAAAGCTAAAAATGAATTTAATGTCCAAAAGAAGCGAGAGATGGAGAATTATATTTGAAGGTAAGTAAACTAGTATAGAAATGATTTAAAATAGTTGTGGAAGAGATGTGAAAAAGTAATATTAACTAATAAAACCAACATATGTCGTCCATTATGCTTCTTAGAGTTATAGTTCTGTCTACTTAATAAAAAATGAAAAGAGTGAGCGTATTAGTGTTACAAACTAATTGAAAGTGAAGGGGAACAGAAAGAAGAGAAACATAGAGACGATTTATAGAGTAAAAGTTATTTAAAAGTGGAATAAGAATGGAGAGAATGCTTGTTCTACAATTAAAACAAATACATGTCATTTATACTCCTTAGAGTTGCGACAAGTTCGACGAAACTTTAAATGTTAAGAAAATGTAACATATGTCATAGAGTTGATGAGCTTTTAAGAATTTGTACATGTAGGTATGCTTGTCAAGCTTGCAGTTACGTTGCCGCACTTCTAATGAGCATAAACTACGACATGCACTTGTTTTAGTATTTAAAGAAGAAGAAAAAGAAGAAATATCAATCTGCCAGTGTGAAGTCCTAGTTAAATTAAGGTTTCAAGCACTAGGTGAAGTAAAACCAGAAGCATATAACTACATGCGGGAGGCACTGTCAAAATCTAATAGAAAAGACTAAGCTGAACGACATACTCTAAATAACGATACCCCATAATAGGTCTGAAAAAATCATGGTTGACATCGACAAATAATGTCCAATTCCTTCCAAATCTAATCTAATTTAATAATTAAATTCAACTTTTTTCTCGTTTTTATATTTTCAAATAATTTTTACAATCTCAATCTTTAATTCCACATGTTATGTGTCGCATATTTAAAGCATATACCCTGGCGACATGAACTAAAGGCGTGTCAAAATGTGAAAGTCATACACCTTTCTAAAGTTGAAAGTCGTACCGCCCTACCAGTCTATCGTTATTAATGCTAAAAACGCCAGAAAGACTAATAGATACGAGACGAAATACCGTCAATATACATATCAGCTAGGAAAGTCAACCGATTTGGCCCTGAATGATCTCAAAAGACTACAGGAGGATAAATAAATGGCAGTAGCAACTTCCATAGATATTAAAGGAGCCTTTAATAATGCCTAAACAAGATCTATAATTAACATACTAGCAATGAAAGGGACGCCAGTAGTCCTGTGTCAGTGGATAAAAGTCAGCCTAGAAGTAAGGAAATTCACATTATCTCTGGGCCCTAGGGAGGGGTATTATCACCCCTTCTTTGGTCAGTCCTAGTGGACGAACTCATTAAAAGGATAATATCTGCAGACTTCTACTGCCAAGGGTATGCTGATGACCTGGCGATCGTCATAAGTGGCTAATTCGGAGGTACAATATCAAGGCGTACACAAACCGTTCCAAATATTGTTGACGAGTGGTGCAGAGAGGAGGAACTAACAGGAAACCCTCAAAAAACAAAACGAAAAGTACTAACAGGACTACAGTTACTAGTACTTAAAGGAATTAATATTCCATTTTATTAAGAGGCCAAATACTTGGGAGTCATCTTTTACTACAGGTTAACATGGAATCAGCACTTGCAAAAAATTATCCGACAGAGCACAATATCCTTCAACTTATGTCAAAGGTTGTGTGAAAAAGTTGTGGACTATGATAACCTACGAATCGGTAGTATGGTAAGATTTGGCAAGCTAGATCCATTCGACAGCTCAATGGTATTCAAAGGCAAGCATGCCTAAGCATCACGAAAGCCAAGAAGACGACTCCAACAGTAGCTATAGAAGTCATGATAAACCTAACACCGCTATATATAATCATTCAAGGCGAAGCCAGGTCTGCCACATACAGACTGCACAAAGGTTCATCACCCATAAGCAGTTTGCATGGACGTGACTACAGCGAGCTATATAAAGAGATGGAGAACGACCAAATAATAAGAACGCCTTCAGACGAAATGCTCTCACAGTATAGTTTTCAATAGCAATATAAAATAAGAATACCAGACAAGAAAGCGTGGAGAGGAGGACCTCCTATGCATGCAGAATTCACCTTTAAAACCCATGAAGGTTTAGGAGTAAGTATTTATTAAACCAATCCAAAGACAAGAGATTTACTGAGCTGAGGTAAACAAGCGACAGTATTCCAGGCAGAAATAGCAGCAATATATCACTGCGAAAAAGAGGTATTAAGACAGAAGGTAAATGGGAAAACTATTGTCATATACTCAGACAGACAAGCGACATTAAAAGCAATCAGTTCTATGCAGGTGCACTCAAAGCTTGTGTGGAACTGTTTAGAATCCTTAACAGAGCCGAGTAGTCAAAACAGACTAACCTTAGCCTGGATACCAGGCCACAATGTACATAAGGGCAACGAAGAGGCTGATTTACTAGCCCTTATGTGGTGTCACAAAGACAACTATCAGAACATGCACAAAGCAGTGGATGTTTAAAAAAAACTCAAGAATGGTGAAAAAATTCACCAGGACAGAAACACTCCAAAGGGTTCTTAAAAGGATCATTGCCCAAACTCACCGAGCATCTACTAAGCTTCAATAGGAAAAATACTAGAATACTAGTAGGTCATCAGGGCATTGTAGGCTTGACAAACATATGTATATTATCGGTCTAACAAAAAGTCTTTGTGCCGATTCTGTCAGGAAGGAAAGAAAAACCAAGGGCAACTAGCTATGCCGGAGAACTACCTCCTAGTCTATGGAATCTATTACAAAACACCGAATTAGACAAGGTACTCTAAACAACAAAGGATATCCACAATAGTTTTGAAAAGGTCAAAGTGATGGCGGCCACACGGCACACAGTCCTAATTAAATCTAATTCAATCTTAATCCTATTTTTATTTCTATTGTTTCATACACGTTTCATGCAGGTTTCTTAATGTATTAAATACACACTGCCTTACTTGGCATGAGCACAAATTACTACATATTGGTTTTATTAGTTAAGTTAATATGACATTGAAAATATTCAGTAATAATTAATCTACCACAAGCATATTGGTCAGATTCTGTAGAAAAAAATAAATATTCAGTTTAATTAAACATTAGATTGTTCTTTACTTTAATTATAAAAATAGGTGTCATTCACTTTTTCGTAATTTAAAAAATTGTAAAACCCCCGCTTTTTAGGCCTGATGATGGACCATAAATGCCGAAACTAGTTATTTATTGACTATTTGTTTATCTGTGTTAACTAAGTGTTTTCTTTTTTTATAAACAATTATCTGTTTTGTTCCTACTCCGGTACTGATATTTTCATTAAAAATAAAATAAAAAGAAGGAAAATGGTCCATATAATCATCGTACGTAACTTTGGAACCTTATATTTTCTTATGTACAGATTTACATTTACATTTAAAAAGTTGTTCAAATTTTCTAGATTTGGTGTTACTTTACTATTATTATAGTCATTTATTTTCCAAAATATTACAATTCAAATGGTCTCAAATATTAAATAATGGGTCAAGAAGATTAATTAAATGTAAAAATCAAATATCTAACATCATTAGTTAAAGGCTTACGAAACAACTGTATAATGTAAAATGACTAGATAAACATATTTCGCAAAAATTTATTTTCTTTTTTTACTAATTTCGTCTTCGGTTAGTTATACATGGTCGCCAGACAAAAATATTCTAGGGTTATTATCAGGAATTAAATACTGCGAAGCTGGTAAAAATTTAAAGAATTTTTTTATTTCAACACACAAGTTAGTTTAAATACTTATCTATTCTCATCGTTATAATAAAAAAACGACAATAATAAATTCATATCCAAAAAATTAGCATTGCAGTTTAATTATTAATAGAATTTATCAATTCAAAAAGACTGTTATTTATAAAAAGCCTGATTATTTAGTAACCGTTTTAAAATTGCATTTCCCTAACACAAACTAGATTAAATCAGTTTGATTCACGACTATTTTCGTTGCTTCCAGCAACAGATTCGTTTTGTACAGCACCGACAGACGTGGGCGAATTGCTGTTACTACCATTATTAACAGCCGGTTCTGGAGGTATTAGCCCTTCTTTCATCCTTTTCTTCTGCTTCATTCTCCTATTTTGAAACCAGATCTTCACTTGCGTTTCATTTAGCTGCAGCGCCGAAGCTATTTCTATCCGTCTTGCCCTGGTTAAGTATTTATTGAAATGAAATTCCTTTTCTAGTTCCGTAAGCTGTTTGTTTGTGAAGTTTGTCCTTCCGGTGTTCAAACAGTTTAGATTCAAGAGACTGGAAGCATTTGAACCTAAACAGGCGCTTCTAGAAGCAGGATTTTGAACGTCTAAGTTTGGGTTATTTGAACTGCCATTCTGGTAGTCTGTCAGAGAAGAGGTTGGAAGCTTGGCCGCTAAAAAAAGAAAAAATATATGTTAAAATAGTTTGTTGAAAACCAACGTAAACATTTATTTAAATTAAAAATACCGTAATAAAAAAACAGCTTTTGACTAAGCAAGTTTGTTGAAAGTTTCACGCTACGCAATTCGCTAATATATCTGTCAAGATAAGTATTGTATAATGCCTTATTTTATACAATACAAGTTTGTAGGGTGCTGATCTTTCGTAAAAAAAAACAGCTTTTGCTGAAGCAAGTTTGTGGAAAGTTTCAAGTTAACAAATTTGCTAATATAATATCTTGTCAAATAAGTTTTGTACAATATTGATTTCTATTCCTCATTTTACCCAATATAAGTTTGTAGGGTACTACTGGGGGATCTGGAGATCTTTTATGGAAAAAGCAGGGCAAGTTTGTTAAAAGTTTTACGCTACGCAATTTGCTACTATATATTCCAAGATAAATATTGTACAATTGGACATAGTTATGCCACTGCCCTTGCTGGTGATTTAATTCACGCTGAAGATAACAATAAAATAAGTTTATTAGTTTTCTAGATTATTCAAAAGCCTTTGATATGTTAAATCATCAGATACTCATTATTTGAGATTTTCGGGTGCAGCTACCAACTTTATAATATCTTTTTTTAAGCAAAAATGTCAGAATACAAATAGGCAAAAACAAGTCGCAAAATATTAAATTGAAACTAGGAGTTCCTTAAGGCACTGGTCCTCTATTATACACTAGTGGGATCCGGAAAATTGATCACCCGCAATTGACTGCCAGCAATTGACCGTCAGCAATTGACCGCTAGCAGTTTACCGCCGTAAGCAGTTTACCGCCGTAGCAATTGATCGCCTAAGCAATTTATAGCCTACAATTGAACTCCAGCACATTTACCGCCATATAATATATATAATCATTTATATACATTTATTGGTGATTTTAAATTGAAAATATGGTTTTTTTTGAAGGTGTTGTTTAAAAATTAAGTAGTTATAGCTAAAAATGGAAGTTACTTATATGCTAAGTGTCTTGGATGGTTCTAAATAAAATTAAATTCAACTGCTATATGGTGAAAAAATCACACGTAGGAAATTCCGTTTGTGCAAGATTCAAATAACAAAAAAATCATTACGGTTTTATTGTTTTTAATTTAATTTACTCTGTCATAAAGGCCACTGACAAGGCTATAATGAAAAAATATTAAAATATTAAAAAAAGGAAAAAAGCTGAAAACGCAACTTCCAAAAGAAATACTTTACATCTCAGGTATACATTTTTTGAATCGAGTAATAGCGAAAAATACAAAAATGAGATAATATACAGGGTGTTCCATTGTAAAAAAACATGGGGGTGGCCATGGGGGACAGAGTAGAAGTTACAACGAGTATGATTTTTGACTTATTTTCTCATACAAGTGTCAATTAAAAAAAAATATTTAGCGTTTTCCTTGAAATTTCCTGTAAAATACCGAAATTTGAGATCCTGCTTTTTAATGATTATTTCTGTTCCCCACATGGATATTGGCTTATCTACGCACAGACTACGAAATCAAAAAGTATGCTATTGCGTTCAACGAATATATTTCATATCCATTTTGGTAGTTAGAAAACTACAAAAAATTGAAATCCACCAATCACAGTTCATATTTTATACATCCAACTACTACTATTTTTAAAATTTTAAATAAGTGATAATTCTGTCAAACTAATTGTCAGTAAATTTTTTAGTTACTAAGATTAAATATAGATTAAAATGAGTTATTTTTATGTAAAATAGATAAATAATATTATTTTTATTTTTGTTTGTTCAACATTTTGAAAAAAATCTTAAATTTTAATCAAACTATATGAAACTAATTTAAAAACGAGTATTAAAACTAAAATCATAAATGAGGAGGTAGAGATGACGTGAGAGTCCCGGGTTCGAATCTGGGCAGGGGGACTAATTAAATTATATCTTCTTTTTTCAGGTTTATTTTATTTTATAAAGTACTAAAAGTCATATATTATTTTAAAATTAGTTATTCTATCTTAATAACCTAAGATAATTTTTAAAATTTTTAGATTTTTTGTTAATGGGTCGTAGAAACAATATACTGTACAACTTAAGTGGATTTTCCATACAGCACTTAGACGGTTGAGCACTCCGCCTACGGCGTCGTGCGATATAGCCAACATATCCAATTTTGTTGCATAAACTACTATTTTAATGGTGTAGTCGGTAGTAGTGAGAAGCGCTGAAATCTTATGAGTTCAGTTCAACTGGCTGCCAATAAATAAATAGTTTTGAAATATTTAATAACGAATGTAGTTTGCTGAATTTTAAATAAATTGCATTTTCTATATGCAATATCTGTTAAAAACAAATCACCATTAATAATTATAATTATTATTATTTTCAGGTCCTGGGATAAATGTATATATCTAAAAAAGTGGTGCATATGTGCAATGTGTATGGGACCTCTATACTTCAATTTTTTACATTTATTCCAAAAATTATAAAAATCCTGCGAAAAAACCTTTTAATCTTGTTTCTATTCTTCTTTAGTTTAGACTAAGACGAAACCATAACGTGAAATGTTAAAATAGTATACATTAATAAATTTCATTTGTTTGTTGCACATAAATCATAATTTTATTTGTTAGCAAATCTATAATTATTCATTTTTGTTAAATTATTGCATTCAAACGACCATTAGTTCACGTACCAGTTCAGTTTAAGGGCGCTATTCTAGGAATGTCAACAATTTTAGGTACACAATATTTACGAATTACACTTATTTTCTTACGGTAACTAACCATCAATATATTTAAAACCATATAATTACAAATCTTAATTATGTCAAATAATAAAGGTAATCTATTTTTTTGTGGCACAAAATTTCCAATGGCAAAACTTTAAATAACCTAAGACATTAAAGTATGATACATGTTGCAACTGCAGTATCTAAATTACTTTAAACATATATTTTATAAAATAATTTTGAACAATATAGCAAATTCACAATTAGCACATAAGCAAATACACCTACCTGAAAAGATAAATACTAGTAACTTTCAATACCCCTAAAATATTGTAACTATTACTTTCATACTCAAATATACTTTTCTTTCAAATATGAAAATTTTGCAAAATCTTTTAATTTAATTAATAGTGATTTAAAGAATTTAGCTAAAACCACGTCCAATCACCTTCCAAAATTAAATCCACTTAAATCGTCTGCCCTGCTATTTCTAAAGGAACCTATAAGAATTGACCGGTGTGAAGTTAGCAGTAACTTTTAGCAGTAAAAATAACCGACAACACCCGATCGCGAAAACAGTGGCGTCCAGCATACAACTATTTAAATAATCTTGTCAATATGTATTTTACACATTAATATTGACAAAAAATTAATATACTGTTGAAAATAACCCTTAAAATTGATAAAACTATATATCCGACGAAGGAAATCAGATCGCAATTTAATTTTATATTTAAAAAATAAATACATTAACATACGCTATAGGTAAATATTTCTTCGGATCCATTAAACAGAACAGGGTAAAATTAACCCATTAAATTCATAAAATAATTATCCTGTGAAGTGTATTAAACAGGGTGAATTTAACCCTTAAACTTCAAAATAAATAATTACCCTATGAAGACGATTAGATCCCAACTTGGTTTTAAATTTAAAAAATCATAAATACACTCACCAAAGTACACTGTTAGCCAAAATCCCTTCAAACCCGTCAAACAGGGTGAAATTAACCCTTCAACATTAAAATAAATAATTACCCTATGAAGACGATTAGATCCCAACTTCGTTTTAAATTTTAAAAATCATAAATACACCCACCAAAATACACTGTTAGCGAAAATCCCTTCCGACCCGTCAAACAGGGTGAAATTAACCCTTAAACTACAAATTAAATAATTACCCTATGAAGACGATTAGATCCCAACTTGGTTTTAAATTTAAAAAATCATAAATATACTCATGAAAGTACACTGTTAGCGAAAATCCCTTCCGACCCGTCAAACAGGGTGAAATTAACCCTTAAACTACAAATTAAATAATTACCCTATGAAGACGATTAGATCCCAACTTGGTTTTAAATTTAAAAAATCATAAATATACTCACGAAAGTACACTGTTAGCGAAATTCCCTTCCGACCCGTCAAACAGGGTGAAATTAACCCTTCAACATTAAAATAAATAATTACCCTATGAAGACGATTAGATCCCAACTTCGTTTAAAATTTTAAAAATAATAAATACACTCACCAAAATACACTGTTAGCGAAAATCCCTTCCGACCCGTCAAGCAGGGTGAAATTAACCCTTAAACTTCAAAATAAATAATTACCCTATGAAGACGATTAGATCCCAACTTGGTTTTAAATTTAAAAAATCATAAATATACTCATGAAAGTACACTGTTAGCGAAATTCCCTTCCGACCCGTCAAACAGGGTGAAATTAACCCTTCAACATTAAAATATATAATTACCCTATGAAGACGATTAGATCCCAACTTCGTTTTAAATTTTAAAAATCATAAATACACTCACCAAAATACACTGTTAGCGAAAATCCCTTCCGACCCGTCAAGCAGGGTGAAATTAACCCTTAAACTTAAAAATAAATAAATACCCTATGAAGACGATTAGATCCCAACTTCGTTTTAAATTTAAAAAATCATAAATACGCTCACCAAAGTACACTGTTAGCGAAAATCTCTTCCGACCCGTCAAGCAGGGTGAAATTAACCCTTAAACTTAAAAATAAAGAATTACCCTATGAAGACGATTAGATCCCAACTTCGTTTAAAATTTAAAAAATCATAAATACACTCACTAAAGTACACTGTTAGCGAAAATCTCTTCCGACCCGTCAAGCAGGGTGAAATTAACTCTTAAACTTTAAAATGAATATTTACCCTATGAAGACGATTAAATACCAACTTGGTTATAAATTTAAAAAAATCTTAAATACACTCACCAAAGTACACTGTTAGCAAAAAT